TAAGGTGCCACAAGTACTCCATTCTCCTTTATGACTCAGGCTCCCTGGCTGGACTACATCTCCCATGAAGCATCACGACCTCCCTTCTGGGTAAAGGGAGGCAGTGCATATATTGGCAGTCATATGGCAGTAGTGCATTATGGGAGATGAAGTTCAGCTTGGGGCCTAGCCTATAAGGGAGAATGGAATCATGGGGCAACCAAACTACAACTCTTGTGAGGCACCACAGCAGCATTTTACAATTGAAATATTTTGGATTTGGGGCAAAGTATTTTGCCAAAAAGTTGAATTCTTCTGTGTGTGGAGGGAGTGGGGGACCAAGTGTTCCAACCAGCTCTACTGAGAGCCTCTGTCCCAGGGAGACAGAAATAGGTCCTTACAATGCGAGTGATGAACGACAGCCTGAGTGGATCCCATGTTGCTTTAGCTGTACAAAAATCACAGATATTAGGGATGAAAAAGACTAAGAGGTTCAACCTTTTTAAAGGGGCTTCTTCTGCCTACAATTTAGTACCCACTTGTCGGGTGAAATTTTAGATGCAACAGGAGCAGGGGAACACCCTTTTATTCCCTTTGTTAAATATTTGTAATGTTGCAGAGGCCTGGAAAAAAAAATAAAGGAAGTTGTCATTGTCACATGTCCTGTACTTAATAATCTTTCTGTACCATAGAATTTGCCTGGGTAAAATGTCCCATCTCAGCTTTTACACATGCCCTTCACCTTGCCTTGCCATTGAGTTTGTGAAACACTTCCTCTGGCTGTTCCATGTGGAAGGTTACATACCATTAGCTATTAAGTCAGAGGCTTAAAGGCAGATAGCCTGTGGCTGTCCTTTGAATGTAGCACGTCTGTCTGGCATCTGGGTATGTTGTGTGGTTCGCCTGATGCACATGGTAAAAAGAAGACAAAACTCACTCAATTCCCAAGAGCCTGCTGAAGGCAGTGCTCTGATTCCGAATGCCAGAACCACGTACACTGGTCAGCCGAATTAATAAGTGTTGGCCTGGTTCTGTGAAGAGCTAAGCTCCGTCAGTTCCCATAGACACCATTGGGGCATTGGAGATAATCAGCACTTCAGAGGATTGGGACATATAGCACATCTCAATCGGCAAAAGAACTATTACGAAACTTATATCCAGAAACATCATGATTGGCACAGTGTGGCAGGGGAAATAGGAAGCATCTTTTCATTGCTGGTCACTGCTAGCAATAGCTGAAAGATGTCTCCGCTCAGCAAGGTCCAAAGGACAGCTCCTGCGTGTTATCAGACCAAAATAATGAACATCTTTACTTCCCAAATGCCCTTTGGTTGCCAGCTAAGAGTTATAAAACCTCTAATGTTAATCAGCATCACTAGAGATCTCATGGCAGCTATATGACCAGTTATATGACTATATTATTCATTTCTTTTTTAAAATACAATTCTGTCGACACTAGCGCTAGTTGGAAAATGGAATTTCTGTTTGGGAAATTCCAACATTTCAAAAAAAATTTCCACCCCCAAATGAGGGGGAAAAGTAAAAGTTTTCCATGAATAGAAATTCCAAGTTTTCATTTTAGAAAGATTGAATCATTCCATGCTCATAATATAGACCTGATTAATTTCAACAACGTCAAAACATTTCATTGGGCAAAGGTAACGCTGTTTTGTTTTGAGAATGTCAAGACACTGTCATCATATGTATATGAATTAAAGATATGCATACAATAAAATATTGAGATATTATAATGTAAAAGTCAAAATGAAATGAAACAGAACAATAAGGTCAAAGCAAAATGTTTTGACATTTTTTCACAACGTTAGACAGTCGAAAGGAATTATGTCAACCTTTTCCCATCGAAAATTTTGCTGAAATCAACATATTCCTGCAAAATGTTTCAATTTCATCAAAACTGCATCTTCCAATGGAAAACTATTCTGCCAAAAAAAAATTGATAATCACTCATATAAACCAATAGTTGAGCTCAATGGCTCAGGGGTGAGTAATGAGCTACAAAGCCTTTTTCATGTAGGTCACTGGTTTGAATCCAAGTCTGGGTAAAAGCAACCGCAACCTCAACCTCGACAATTGTTCGGTGACCTATGTGAAATGGAATTGGCAATCAGGCCAGCAGCCAAGGCAGATATTTTCAACACAGTCTAGGAGATTTAGACACATCTATTTTAATGGAAGATATGTAAATTTATAATTAATAAATTCCAAGGTCAGAAGGAACCATTGTGATCATCTAGTCTGACCTCTTGATTAGCACAGGCCATAGAACTTCCCCCAAATAATCCCTCGAGCAGAACTTTTAGAAAAACATCCCATATTGATTTAAAAATTGTCAGTGATGGAGAATCCACAACAACCTTTGGTAAATTGGTCCACTGATTACCTACCCTCACTGTTAAAAATGTACGCCTTGTTTCCAGTCTGAATTGGTCTAGCTTCAGCTTCCAGGTAATGGATCATGTTATACCTTTCTCTGCAGATTGAAGAGCTCATTCTTGATTTGTAACATCAATGGTAGAGTTTCTGCAGTAATTGAACCCAGGAGTCCAGCCCTCCAGTGACTTCTAGATCACAATCCATTTTTTAGCACAGGGGAGGGCAAACTACCGCCCACGGCCGGATCCGGCCCATCAGGGCTTTCAATCTGGCCCACGGGATTGCCAGACCTGTGGCACAACAGGGCTAAGGCAGGCTCCCTGCCTGCCCTGGCCCCGCTCCGCTCCCAGAAGTGGGCAGCACCATGTCCCTGCAGCCCCTGGAGGTGGCGGGGGGAGAGGGCTCTGTGCACTACCCTCGGCTGCAGGGACCGCCTCCCGTAGCTCCCATTGGCCAGGAATGGGGAATGGCGGCCAATGGGAGCTTCAGGGATGGTACCCACAGGCGAGGGCAGTATGCGATGGAGCTGCCTGCCCCACCCCACTCCCAGGAGCCACTGCCGGACATGCTGGCCACTTCCAGGAGCAGCGCGGGGCCAGGACAGGCAGGGAGCCTGCCTTAGCTCCACTGCGTGCCGCTGCCACCCTGGAGCTGCTCGAGGTAAGCGGCACCAGGCTGGAGCCCGCACCCCAAACCTCTCCTTCACCCGGCACCCCCAACCCCCTACTGCCCCTCCTGCACCCCATACTCATCCTCCACCCCAACCCCAACCCCCTGCCCTGAGCCCCCTTCTGCACCCCGCATCCCTCCTGCACTGCCCCCTTCTGAACCCCATACCCTTCCTGCACCCCAACCCCCCTGCCCCTGAGCCCCCTCCTGCACCCCAACCCCTTTCCCTGAGCCCCTTCCTGCACGCCCCACCACCTCCCACACCCCACACTCCCTCCCACACCCCAACTTCCTGCCCCAGCCCTACATTCATGGCCCTGCGTGCAATTTCCCCACCCAGATGTGGCCCTCCGACTAAAAAGTTTGCCCACCCCTGCTTTAGCAAACTGCTAGTCATGTGGGATGTTTATGTGTTTCTACTGAGTTAGTCTCATCACAGACTACTGTTTAAAAAGGCTACTTCTTAGTATCTGGAAAGAGATTTCTGATAGATAGCTCTTGAGCAGAAAACCACATAAGATCCACGGAAGGTGAAACGAGACAAATTCAAACTAGAAATAAGACACAATTTTTAACAGTGAGGGTTATTAACCACTGAAACAAATTGCCTGTGGAGCGGGTGGATTCTCCATCACTTGAAGTCTCAGTCAGGACAGGATATCTTTTAAATTATATATGCTCTAGGTCAAACAGAGGTTAAGGACTTGATGTAGGAATCACTGGGTGAGGTTCTTTGGCCTGTGCTATGCAGAAGGTCAGATGAGATGGTCGTAATGGTCCCTTCTGGCCTGAACAATCTATAAATCTATACCTGGCCTAGGGGATGGACAGTACATCCTACTGAACTCAGGACGCATTGCCCAGAAGAGCACGCCTGCTTTGCTCAACAGAGCAGACT